GCGCTGCACCCTTTCTAACCAAAGCTTATGAAATTACTATATATGGGGAAAGGGAGAGAGAGAGAATTTGAACGGGATTGCATGGGATAGCCCAAAATATATAAACATTGAGATACATGAGAATAGGTTGTCATAGCCTGATATCAGTAAAGTTCGATATAAACAAAAAAGATAAAAATGAACAAAGTGAAACAAATATATAGATACCTTCGAATGTAAATGTCTTTTTGATGTGGTGTTTCCCTAACTGCAGTATGAGTTGTGACTTACCTAAATGGAAGGAAATAAAAAAGAATATTAGATTGGAATTTCAACATTGACGTATCATCACGCACGAACGATAGCAAATTTTATTATACAAGTCAATATTTTCACAACAAATATCGTTATATTATTACGACACACCTACATTTAGAAAAGCAATGTATAGCTTGAATTTTAACTTGCAATATTATTATATTAATAATAATAATAATAATAACTGATTATCATACAAGAGACTGGATGCTGATCTGTGTCAAAGAAGATGAAAGTAGCAAGCGACTTTATTCAGTAATAAAGGAAGCCAACAAATTCAAAATGAGGTATCAAGTGGCTGAAGAAATACAAGTAAAGCATAAAATACCAACTGAAGCTGCAAAATACTTAAAAAATGTTTTGTCTATTTATTTTATGAAAATTTTTTTCATAACGTCTGATAAGTTTAATAACATTATCGTTGAACGAAGAAAGAAATTCACAATATTGATATTCTTAAATGTCTATAATTGGTAACAGAAACCATCGGTTTATACCAACGGCTTCTCATACTTCATACTTCTCCAATTCACTTTTGTGTGTTCATGTGTGACGTCATGAGATGCGGTGCGATTTTCGCTTCTAGCGTCTTATATGCACGTGTTTATCGTTGCTTAGAAATCAACTATGTAAACAATGACAGACTATCATCACTGTCTTGTCCGTATATTGCTTAATATGTTGTAATGGACATCTTTGATAATGACTTAAGTAAGCCGAAAGCTTAGATTGTATTAAAAAATATGCATCAATAATGTGAAATTTTTCTTCGTTCAACGATAATGTTATTAAACTTATCAGACATTATGAAAAAAAAATTTACATAAAATAAACAGACAACACTTGTCTATATTATTTAATGAAACGTGTGTATATATATTATTGAAAACGACAGACATTTTATGATGATTAATTTTAATGATCTTCTTTTCTAAATTATAAATCATCCTAGATAAACAAGGAGGAATTTTTTTCCCAAATTCATATCAGAAGAAAAAGTAAAAGTAATAACATCCGAAGTTTTGCTTTCTTAAGTCTCCATCTGGATTGGTAGAGAGAAATTTATGAGTTTAATAAAATTGTTAGGGAGTAAAACATTAGAAGTCTTGTGATAAAAGCTCGGAGATCACATTTTTGAATCTTAAGTCGTTTAAAAATTGCATATATATATATATAATGATGCGGGCTCATATACATACACACACACACACACACACACACACACACACACATACATATATATATATATATATATATATATATATATATATATATATATATATATGCAAAAACTGTCACTTAAAATATGTGGGTGAAACATGTAGGCCCGTAAAATCTCGTGTTTTCGAACATAAACGAGATATTCTCCTCGGAAATTTAAACAATGCTTTAGTTGTACACACAACTAAAGCTGATCATAATTTCGATTTTGATTCCGTGAAGATTTTAAAATATTTTCATAATAAAAATCTTAGACGGATTTATGAAGCAGGAATAATATCCATCTCACGCACGGTGAATACTAGACCTGGTTTCTTTAATATTTCCCCCTTTTTAGCGAGATTAATGCTCGACAAGCGTACATATAAATTTTAGTTCAAAATAGAATTCTTTTCATTTTTCATTCAAAATACTCAGAATTGTAGGAATACGTTTTCCCAGCGTCGCCCACGTGACCATGTTTCAAACGGAGCGCTGATCTTATAAACCTTTCAGTTATTGTTTGGATAAGTCTTGTTCTAATGTACATCGTCTTTGTCATGTTGTATTGATAATGTTATATTTATGAATTTTTCCTGAAGATGGTTTATTAGACCGAAACGTCAGACGTTGACATATTAACATTAAAACAACATAATCGTATATAAGGATTTTTTTTTTTTGTTTTTTTTTATATATATATATATATATATATATATATATATATATATATATATATATATATATATACGTCTATTTGGGCCGATGAAATTAGTATATTATTTAGTATAAATAAAAATATGATACCCCATTTTATGTCCACTAGAATCTTATATTAATCGTAAGAAGTGCTGTTGTCGACCCAGCCCATTTCCCAAAATCTGGTCAAATATTAAAATATTTTTTCCTTGGTCGGATCGGAAACATTTCAGTGACACACAACTTTTTATTCGCAAATTTGTGTTGGATGAAAGTAAATTTAATGTATGCGTATATCTTGTTTATGAATCCAAGTAAGCGAATATCGCTTTAGTAACTCTAAGATGATAACAAAGAAGAGAGAATCCACGTCTTGAAGCTGATCAGATCATTAAACTGTCCAATTGCGTATTTATAACTGTAACAGTTCTCGTCTTTTCTCATCTTTTCTCGTTTTCACTTCCTGAAGCCAACGCTCTTTTTCCCTCGAGGTTCATATGTGCTCCCAAGATGAAATCTAATTAAATTCGGAACACCAGTGATATGAGAATTTCTTAGAAGGAAAGAGAAAGACAGTGAGAAAAAAATTACTTAAGTTTGTGGAGGGGGGTAATGTATTACGCGTATATTGGATTTATCTTTCGACACAATTGTAAATAGATAGAGAAAGAATGAAAAAAGATGTCCCCTTTGTTTTGCCACATTTTTTTTCACTTTTGCTGCAAAAATCTTTCTTTATTTGCCCATTTCGTCTTGACGGCCATTTAAGTTTTGCGTCAGTCATATTGAAAAGAATGCCTCATTATCAGGGATTTTCACTACTGTTCGGTCGATAATATCAAGGAAATTACTTTCTTTCTTTCTTTCTTTCTTTCTTTCTTTCACCTAAAGCCCTCTCTTTTTGGCCATATTTATTTTTTTGAATTTGGTTCCCGCTTTATGCAATGTAAAATTTTCTTTCTAACATATTTAATTTTCTTTTTTCTTTCTTTTTTTCTTTTTTTTCTTTCTTTCTTTCTTTCTTTCTTTCTTTCTTTCTTTCTTTCTTTCTTCCTTTATATTTTAACCTGAAATATTCTTTCTTTTTTATTTTAACTTGAATATATTTTTCTTTCTTTCTGTCCTTATCTCTTACATTCTTTCAATCCTTATCATTTTTTCATTCATTCATCCATTCTTTCTTTCTTTACTTTCTTTCTCTTTCTCTTTTCTTTCTTTCTTTCTTTCTTTCTTTCTTTCTTTCTTTCAATTTTAAACTAAAATATTATTTCTTTTTTTAACTTAAATAGATTTTTCTTTCTGTTCTTATCTCTTACATCGCTTCAATCCTTATCATTCATTCATTCATTCATTCATTCTTTCTTTCTTTCTTTCTTTCTTTCTTTCTGTGTTTTCATTTATTTTTCATTCTCTTTTTACGGCATTGACTGATATTAATTCTTTTCCTTTTTATTTCACTTTCCTTCCTTATTCCTTCGTCATTCCTTGTTTGCTTTATATTCCTATTGTATCTATTTTTTTCACTCTTTTATCACTCCTACCATTTTTTGGGTTTTCTTCCTCGTTGCTATTCTCCCTCTCTCACTCTCTTTCACCCTCTCTCTCTCTCTATTCCATATTGTCTTTTTTGTCATTAATAAAAGCTCATTCTGTTTTCTCTTTTTTACCTCACACTTTATTCACTCCCGCTTTTTTGTTTTTTCTTCGTACACATTTCACATCTTTCCCTATTTTCCATCGTATCTATCTCACTACCTCCTATCACCATTTTGAGGCCATTCGTCCCGTCTTTCTAAGTGTTCTAACCCGCATTCATCCACAAATTCTAATTAATTTTCCTTGGATATTTTCCCATTATTCGCTGGTTCTTGCGTAGACATAGCGATCCAATGTTTACTAGCCAGTTTTTCGAAAGGTACTCCAAAAACTTATGGAACATTGCCAGATTCATTGTAAGAACAACGAATAAATATACTGGTTAATTTCTTCTCTGCTGCTTATATATCTTATTTCACAAGCTATTTGAACAAGAAGACATTGATTTATCCGGACCAGTTTCGATGTGTTTTTTCGAAGGAATCGTTGTATAATAGAGACGTCCCTTCATTTCCGAATTCAAACCAAAATATAGCGATATGATTTGGATAACTCTTGGCGATTGGGCTTCCGAGGAGAAGACAGTTTTCCACGGATCGTCAGGTTCACGAGCAAAATGTATACGAAGTCACGTACCACGCGAGAGCTGTACGTTATTTACATAAGAACCCCCCCCCAACAGCATACCTGCGATCAGAGAATGACGATCTGGACGTTGTAAAAGAAATGGAGACGAAAGTAATGTATGTTATTAATAATAATTGGCTTTATTTTATCTGAGATTGTTAGCTTAGTTGAATATGTCATTCATAGATTTTTCCTGTTTTTTTTTTTCTAAATTTTCTGAAACACCCGTTCTCGTCTGATTACCAAAGTTAAGCAATATTGAGACTGATCAGTACCTAGACGGGTGACTGCTCTAAAATACCAAATTGTATGTGCTGGTAGTGTAATGGATAACGGTTCGGAATACGAATTTAATGAGCTGAGTTCGAATTCAAGTCGGGTTCATTATATTCACTTAGAAATACTCTTAGGAAATCTATGAAGCCGCCTATTCTCCTCCCAGTTATGGGTTAAATAGCAGGACTTGCATCAGAAATCATTATTATCTCCAAAAACTAGTTACAATTCAGAAAAAGTTGACACGAATTGGTTTGATGAAGTCGGAAGACAAAAGGCGTTGACAAGAATTATGAATTTTTTCCAATTGTCATTTACACACACACACACACACACACACACACACACACACATATATATATATATATATATATATATATATATATATATACATATGCTATGGGTAAATTGTCGCCATTTTATATCCTAATTTCGCGATTGGCCATTGCAAATTATACTTGGGTCAATTGGCCACCGTCGGTGGTAAAAAGAGTACGGTAGCGCAATGCACCCCACTTAAAATTTGAAAACGACATGCTGTACTGCTTGGCATTCGCGCCGGAATCTCCAATACCAACTTTTCAGTGTTTGCGTGTCAAGCTGAGCACAGTGTAGAGGATTCGGAAAGAGTTGAATGAATCTAATAGTGATTATGAAGTTTCGATAGCTCAGAAAACAATTTCTGGTTATTCTGATAATAAAATAACTCCCGAGTTTGTTGCTGAAGGCCTCAGACTCAATACGGAGAACTACGTTAAGTCTTTGTTAAGGTAGTGCTGTCCTGGATCAAGAGGGTGGCTGATGGAAGACTCCATGTCTGGCAATAGGACTCTGCATCACGCCACACAAGCAGGAGAACCCAGTCATGGCCGTCAGATGATTTTTGCGACCATATCACCATCTTATATCTGACCACCTAACTCCGCAGGCAGCGAAACCATGGGTTGCATTTGAGTGAGAGAACAACAAAACTCCGTTTAACACAAAAGATGAACTGAAGGCAAGTATTTTGGCATCATTTACCAACTTAAACAAGGAGACCCTCTAGAATGGATGTAGGAGATTCTGAAGTCTTCTGGAGGTCGTGGTTGAAGCCAATGGCGATTTTATTCAATGGATTTGCTCTTTAGTATTTTACGATATATATTTTTTAAAATTTTGGTAAATACATCTGTTAAAATGAGATGTCAGTGTTATTTTCATGTTTGAGTAATTTAGACGACAATTTATTCATCGCACCCTGTATATATATGACCAATGAAAAACAATCTGCCCACTTAGACGAAATAAAAGCTTCAGCTCGAACTTCCGTGATGGCTACCCTTATTCTAAGTCAACTGACAAGGTTGGAATGTACAACGACCGAAACGTTGTGATAATAACAACAAAGAGAGGGATATTAGTGCGATCGTAAGAATGGCTTCAGCAGTTCTGTTCGGCATTCTATTTTTCGTCTACGACACTTGAACCATCATTAATAGAAAATTATAATTTAAAGCACTCAACGAACTCATGTTTGCCGACGACCAGACAATGATGAACATCGATAGAATCCAGCTGCAGGAACACACTGACCAACTCAAATCAAGCTGCGAGAAATACGACATGAAGATCTGTGACTAAGACCGAGGTCATGACCGTCAGCAAGAGACCAGAAAAAAATGGACATTAACATCAATGGGAACTAGCTAAAGCAAACCCGTGAATATCTGGGCAGCATATTTACTGAAAACGGCAAACTAGACAGAGAAATCGAGACCAGATATAAGAAAGCCAACGCAGTCAGTTACCAATTTGCTCCTCTTGTAAAACATTTCCATGAACACCAAGGCAAATCTCATCAACGCCATTTTCCTACCAACGCTGACATACCAGTGCCGGACATGCCCCCCCCACCAAACAAAAACCCCTGAGAGGAAACTGATCACTTGTGAGATGAAATGCCCGAGAAAAGCAGTGGACGAGCAGGCGAGACAAGATCAGGAACGAGGCAATAAGAGATATGATAGGAGCAATACCAAGCATACAACACTGTGCTGTGCTGGTCAAACTGTCTACCTTCGAGCAGAGGGGATCCCCAGACGAGCCTATGTCGAAGGGCAGAGTCTCGTCTTGAGAAAACAGCTATCCGACCCTTTTTTATACGGGAATTTTTGGCCGAGGCTACGGGCTCGGATTCTCCCATTTTAAAACTCGGCCTTGTGCTACATGTTACCTTGTGGAGAGGTTAGTAAATATTTACAATACATCGAACGTCAAAAGGAACAAGTGTTTCGGACACCTCACTCTTATACCAACCACCCCTACGAGCATACACACTCAGGTACTCTGGCTGGAGCGGCTCAGTGGCAGAGATGCTGGAGCGGTTCAGACCCCACAAGATATCTCTCCTCCAGGCCACACGATTTGCCGCTGACAGACGACTGTGTCTCCCCGTGACGCCCTAACAGCACTGGCGGAAGGAAAAACTAAAATAACTATAATTTAAGATTTTTTTCTATCTCGTAACTGAAATTTGGTTTATTGTAATTATAATAATATCGCGTTTGTTTTGATAAATTAATAAAGAAAATGAATTAATTACTGTAAAATATTAAGATTAATATGGATTTCGTTTCAGATTTGCATAAAGATGCATTGTGATGTATTACGATGTATTTATCGTGATAGATTATACTTATCTTTTGAGGCGTAAGTGAACATAATAAGTTAACTTTGTCGGAGACTTGATTTTCTTCTGTTGTTTCAAAATATGGCTTATGATTGCAATATCCTACAATCTCAGCCCTCAGCAAGCTGTTTTTATAAGTCGCTGAAAATGTCGTCTGGGAGTCAGCAAGGAAAAACCAATTCGTCGGTCAAATTAATCAATCAAATCCATTTTTTACCCTCTTCTCTAGAACTTTCGATTATTCAACTTTCTTAATATCTATACTACTTTGTCTACGTATGTTTTTTTTTTGTCTTCATTTGTCCCCTGTTTTGTTTTTTTCAATTTTGTCTTCTTTCTCTGTATCTACGGTTCCTACACCCAGCTGCGCTCAACACCTTGTCCACCTTTCAAAATATCTCCCCACTTGCCATCACCAATATTTTTTTTGCATCTCTTGTCTATCACAGGTTTCGTCTTTTTCTCCCACCAGATGACTTTAAAAATAGCAAACTTTCTCCTTCTCATGCCGTTCCCTTCCCTACCATTGTTTTATTTCTTCTTCTAAGAAATTGTTTTTCTCGCTGGTTTTCTTTTCCTTCGGGACTTACAATTTGCGTCACACTTTCTTTTATCGCTTCCATTATTTGCCCAGACCACCATATTTTTCTATTTGTTTTGCTGTTAGAAGCATTCTTGAATTTCTTTGCCTGAGATTTTCGCGTTGATTAACAAAATCATAAAAAAAAATATGAGAAGTATGAAAACTATTTCATCCCAAATAGACAATTTCACTTCTCTTATCTGCAATACTCACGAGTCATCACGATTGCCGCTGTATTAGTCTGTAGGAAGAGTGTGCTTACAGATAAGACATTTCATGTTTAGCTGGATAGACCAATACTTCTCAGATCAGGGTAAATTACACAAAATTGAGTAAAACTAATTTTGTTAGAGATAACGACACAATGGACGCGAGGTCAACTAACGGATATTTAAAGAATCGTCGAGTTCAAATACCTACTGAGACAATTTGCGCATGCTTCTTAATAATGGTAATATTACCGTTTCCTTAGAAGATAACATTCGGCTTTCATTGATTGAACAGCCAATGATACTCCGGTTACGCTTTTCTTCATTCACTGGGCTGGGATCAAAGGGTAGTATCTATTCACCTCATCTCTAATTGTAAGGGTAATATTAACCGTTTTCTTATAAGGAAATATACGTGTTATCGAATGAAAAGGCCTAGGCCAGAATGGTCAGAAATTGACCGGAGGGCCTCATGGGCGTGGTATTCTGATAGTGATGGATTGCCTTTGTCTGGGTTTTTGGATATAAGTCCAAAACGGTGCGAATTCAAAAGAGGGCCACAAGAATTTTAAAGCGTCGATACACTTCGCTCACCCAGGTTGAAAGACCGACGAAAACAACCCGCGGAGGGACACACAGATGAGAGGTTGTTAGTGGAGATATCTTCTGGTATCTTTGGGAGGTGTAGGCCGACATTTTGCATCAGCTTTGACTGCCTGCGCACTGCAGCTGGCCGGAATGCAGCCACCAGATGAAAACAGTATTGATCTAGGAACTTTCTGAAGCTGACGGACTTGGCTTGCAGGGGAAAAGTTTCTTGGAACAACACATATCCGTTGTAGATAGCTCACATGGCAAAAGTGACGAAGAAACGTCTTGGCCAGCGGTGATGACGGCGTGTCTTGTACAGACGTGTCACCTGGTCATTTTTGTCAGCTCCCCACCTCTAGTGGCTGTAGTTACTGACTGGGACATTTTGATCGGGATCACTGTGCCCTCTTTCTACGCTCAGCACTTCCGTTTTTCCGGGGGTCGTGACATGTTGACAGGAAATTGATGGGCTTTCTGTCATTCCACATTATTGCCATCTTTGCATTGAAAGTCACTGTCACTACAATTTTTCATTTTTTTTTATTTCCAGGCTTTGTGAGTTTTCTTTCTGTTGGTCATGGCTGCTCCCATGGCCAGAGTATTCTGCATTGTCAACAAATACTGGAACAAATTAACACTATTGTAGTATCTGCCCATTTGTGCTTTCCTTGGGCATTAGCTAAAATCAGTAGGCGATACACAACGTTGCCAATCAGTCCAATTCCATCAACTTCTTCTATTGTTTTGCTGGTGTAGATCTACGCTCTCACTATGTATCTAGTTTCTCCTTTACAGAGCATGAATGATATCACACCAAATTTGGATGACTTATCTTTGATGTATTTTTTGATGGCAAGTCTGTTCGTGAGGGGAATTATTCCTTTCTCCAAACTGAGGTGTTGTCTGGATACATAAGAGCCGAAATTTCTCCAGCAGTGAATTTAGCATGGATCTAACCTTGTAGATGACATCTGTTTTGTCAGTTGTAGCATCAGTTTCATCTATAACATTAAAAAAAAAGCCCAGATGGGGAAAAAAACCTGTCTCTTGACATTACTTTTCGAAAACCAGGCGTTTCTGACAGAAAGTTCTGGCCACACGATTTCCAGAACTCCCGGAATCGAGGTTTGATTACAGCTTTTTTTTTTCCATTTGCAACCTCAACCCAAGGAAAGCCTTTGCTTCTGGATCAGTCAGTTTAACTTTGCATATTTTGCCGTAGTAGAATTCAGGCTTTCCTTCTTTGATCTGATCTGCGCGCTGGTTTGTTTTGCTTACAGAGTTTTGCCAGAACTCGCCATCCAGAAATAATAGCAAAACACGACGCAAGAGTTCACCCACCGTTCAACCGGTGTCTGGGCATTAAATCATTTTTCTCTACCACTGTTCAACCGGTGGCTGAACATTACGTCACTTTTCTTAACCACTGGTAAAGAGGTGGTTAGGGCTCAAGAGTTAAAAGGTTAATTTAAATATTAATGCAACACTTAAATGCAGCGATCAGTTTTGAGTTCTTCTGTAGTTCATTGTTGCCTATCGCATCTACTCCTCCCTATCTATTGTGATGAAGGCCCGATCAAGTGCCCTCCGCAGAAGCTAGCTTAAATGCCAGCCAACAGAGCAGCTTTTAATTTAGTATATATATATATATATATATATATATATATATATATATATATATATATATATATATAGATAGATAGATAGATAGATAGATAGATAGATAGATAGATAGATAGATAGATAGAGGAAGTGAGAAAGAAGGAGGAAGAGGTATAGAGCTCAGTAGGGTGCATTAAGTACTCCTCAACTTTATGATAGGATTTCTTCAATTTAGATATAAAAATGGGGTACTACATGAAGGCGAACTTTTTCTTTGTGGAAAACATTGCAAAAAAGAAATCTGTTGCTTCACGTCGCATCGGAATGCAAAGGAATGTTTTTTGTTACCATTTTAAGAGCCGCTTAACAAAACTGACTAGCAATTTTCGGAAGACACTTTCATGATTAGGAAAAGAACAAAAAAATGGCTGACGAAAATGAGAAAAATAAAGGCGTAAAAATTCATTGGCAAGTTCAATTAATTTTGCTTCTTCCCGTGAACCGCTAATTTGTGGAGCAGACTCCCGAGATTATGCTTTCCCGAGCGTCACAATCTTAATATTTTCAATATAGAGTCAATCGTTTTCTATCCTACATATCCTAATAATCTGCACTTATACTTCCTCCGTTTACGTCTACAACAACCTTATTCTGCAATATTCTACCTTGAGTGGCTCTTGGATCTTATAAAGGGGAATATTTAGTAAAATTAATTAAATAATGTGGATCCAATGACCGGAATTTTAACTCGGCACATTGGTCACACTTCACAGACTAATATCCGCTACTCTATCTGCACATCGCACACATGACGTTCGTCAAAAGCTAAGACTCTCTTGGCAAGAGGCATCAATGTCCATTCTTGAAAGTTATGTTCCCCACCACTACACACACACACACACACCCAATCAAAGCAATGCTAAATTCTTCTTAGCGGATATTTTACTTGTCGCGAAAGTTAATTATAATTAGTTAACATAAATTTTAAAGTGATTTAGCCTGTAACTAAATTAATGTGTCGATCTTAAATTATTCTTGGGGGAACTAAAAATAAATATTTCTCTTACTGGAATTTCCACAAAGGAATGATTTCTTTTGTGTAGGTGTTGGGGAGTAGAGAAAAATATATCTTGATAGTGGAGACCAGCTTACAGAAGAGAATGTCCTAAGCACTATCGAATTATATTTGCTGACTCATTTTCTATTATGACGTAAGCTTACGTTCCCACGAGTCAAACAGCAGACGGTGACATACGACTGATAGAGCACACCCAGCAATAAAAATAAATAAATGAAAATACTCATTTCTTGACCGGCTCAGTTGGAGGAAGGTCATTAAAAATACACAGATAATAAAATGTCTTCTCCTACGTCTCATTATTCAGCAATGCGCATGCGTTAATGCTGAGAAGAAAAAAAATGAAAAGAATGGGAGAGAAGAGAAAAATTTTCGAAGAAGAGTTAAGAAAAATAAAAGAACAATAAAAATTGTTGAAGAAAATGAGAAAAAGAAAGGCGGGAAAATTCGTATAAATAATGAAGTACTTAGGAGAAGGATTTGTCGGATTGTGTTTGGTATGAATGAGAAACCAAAGAAAAATGCGAATGGTGGAGTCGCTTATCTATTGTTATAGTTGTTTCAGACAACCGCGAGTGGATGAAAAATGGCGATCGGAAAAAAAAAAAGAGAAGAGATATACAGCGAGTGAAATAAAACCGTGGAATGTAATAAATACGCGTACACGTAAAAGAAAAAAAAAGACAAAAATCACGGGAAGAAACGGTTAATAAATGACCTTTCCACTTCCCCTAGTGACGTCACAACGTAATAATCGATGACGTAACATTATGAATGAACGACAGAACGAAGGCTGTGTGACCCCATTGAATCAAATATATTCTTGATAAGAAAGAAATGAAAAAGAAAAATTAAATTTCGAGATATGAGAAAAAAAATGCTAAAAATGTCGAATCAACGAAAGCGGCAAAGAAAGCAAATTATAGGCAATTATTATTTTTTATTTTTTTAAAAAGAGATTAATAATTTTTTTTCTACAGAAAAAAAATGAATTTAAATTGAAGAAGACAGAATGGATAAAGAAAAAAAATAGGTGAGTGCTTAAAGTTATTATTCACATAGCTTAATATAGTTTGACATAAGGACACAAATATTAAGCAAAAAGTAAAGAAGGAACTTCAGAAAGAACTGTACTATTCTGATATTTATTAAAAAATATACAAATGTGGCGTAAGGGCTTGTTAAATAAGTAGGGATAGGGCGTGGTTTTCATTGTACTCTCACTAACTTAGCTAGACAATGACTCCTCTGCTCAAATATTTTCACTTTCACCAAGACATTTTCTCATCAGTTACAGAAGAAATCTCTAAGAACTCTGAATTAGTCCCATATGAACAGTTATTGTGGGTAGAAAAATAACATTTCAAAATTCCTTTAATACTTATTAACAATTATATAACATATTAAAACAAAACAAATAAAAAACATATGTTAGTTTTGAAACCTAAATAATCCTGACAGTGGCAGAAATAACAGTTAACTAA